AATAATCCTATCTCTTCAATGACAGCCAGAAGCTTACACACCTGCTTCATGTCACGGTAACTCGGTCAAGCAAAATGACGAGGGTGAAACCCGTCCCAAGTCTGATTGGTTGATTTCGGAAATTCGTTGGTTGTCGATCGGACCTGACCAGGCGTAATGGGCTCCAAGCGGTCACGCTCGGCCGGCGGCAAGTTAAAATTCTTCTCCTGCGGCGTGACCTTCCAAAGTCCTGCCAGGCTGTGGGCCTCCGACTGGAGCAACTCAAACGGCCGTCCTGAAAAGGTCTGCAGATCTGGGCGCCATACTTTCTGAGGTTGCCAACTGGTGAGCGTTGAGGTCCAGCGGTGTGCCCACCCGACACCTTTGGACATGGCCTCCTGGGCCCAGTTTTGCCAGGCAGTGGTTTCACTGTGGGGCCCCTGGCATCCTCAGCTTGCAGCGCTCGGCCGGCTGATTCATCAAGCTCTTCGGAAACCTTCAAGACAAGTTTGGGGTCCAACACCCCGTTGCCCGGATCTTCTGCAGCGGCGCCTAGAGCAGTCCAACACAGTCAAGCAGACGGGCAAGCTCCTCGGTGCCTTCAAGCTCTGGAGGTGGTGACTGGATGCTGACCAAAATCTCCGAAGGGTAAAACTCGTCCCTGGAATGAACCTTGCGGATGGCATCTATCACTTTGTTTTTCAACCATCTAATCGGGATCGCCAAGCTCCTCCACTTAGCCCTCGGTTCCACCTCCCGAGCGGCTCCTGGTGCCCAACGGATCTTGGGTTGTCCCACTCGCGGCATGGTGGGCGACTTGATCGGCGTATCCGTGCGGATGCTGATCGTCTTCGCCATGCCGCTGGCGAAATGCTGGCACGTGGAGTTCAGGGTCAGCAAACGGGCCTCTATGTCGGTCTCCTGGGCGATGACCTGGTCCAGGAAGCCCAGGGCTGCTTCGGTTTTGTCCCAAGGCGGCACAAAGTTGTGGGCCCATGGGGCATGGTAGTAGAGAGCGGTTGGGGCTTCCCCAAGGCGGGCACCATGAAGGGCTTCCCACGCCCGATTTGAAACAGAACGGGTCTGTAGGGGCTCAGCGGGTAGTCGTCCAGGACGGTGGCACCCAAGAGGTCCTGGTCGAAGCGCGACGAGGCTAGGGCGAAATCGATGGTGCTAGCGGGTTTCCTCACCTTGCACGTGAGGGTAGCTGGGGCCAGAATCTTGAGGCCCGCTCTCAACGGGTAGTTCGACTCCATCATATGTTTGGCCGAGCCGTTGGACTTCCCCAGCAATGATGAGTGGTTGTCGCGCAGCATCCTGAATCCTTGCAGCCCCTGCTAGAAGTTCTAAGTTGCATTTGTTGAGGCCCGCCCCGTCGGCCAGGTTGATAGACTAGCGCGAAGGGGCGGTGCCCTGGAAGTTCGAGTGAAACGGCTGTGCAACGTGATTCTGCGACCCCTGCAAGAAGTTGCACTCTGGATGCTCCGAAGTCATGCCCGTCACGAATCAAAATGCCTGTGCCTTGGACAGGGTACCCTTTGTCACTGAGCACGGCTGGTGAAAGCATCGATTGCCACCCCGCGCGCTCGCACCGCTGAACAATGAATGGGGGCGCATCTGTGAAAACTCTGGCCTCCTGGCAGCAGGTGACATCCACTGCCTCAGCTGCTGGAGATTGGAGAAACTTCCTGATGGATCTCCAGCAGCTGCCGGTGATTGTGGCGAACCTGACCGTGTTACCCGTAAGGCGCTTTGTCCGCGGGGTCGCCCTTGCCGCCCTTGCCCTTGGCTGCGGCGGCGCACAGGGCCTTGGCGCTCTTCTGGAGCGCCTCGGTGTTCTCCTGCTGCTGCGAGGGCTGCGAGAGGTTCTGGCCTTGCAGGTTCAGCGCCTGGCCGACGGCCTCGCCAGCGCGCTTGATGCCCGCGATGCGCTTCTGCTCGGCGTTGTGCTCCTCGACCTCCATGACCTTCTCCTCCTCGTCGTAGGCTGCGGCCTCCTCGGGGCTTTTGTCAGCACCGTCTGCTGCGCCATCAGCAGCGCCAGGGCCCGCTGGCGTGGGCGGTCCGCCGCCCACCAGGGGAAGGGCTGGGACGTCGGCGGGCGCCTGGGTCGTCGCGCCGCCTGGGACCGCCTGGGCCGCGCGGGGCTGGGCCTCCGCGGCCTGGACCTGCTGCGCCGCCTGCGCCGTTTGCCACTCCACGTGCAGCTTGGCCGCGAGCTTCGCGACGGCCGTCTGCACCTCGGCGGACGGCGCGAGCCCTGGCGGGAACTGGCTGGAGATGAATGACTCCAGACTGGGGGCCTCGCATGCGTGCTCCTTGAGCGCCTGCTGGACCGCCGTCTTGTGCTGGGTCTCAAGCTGCTGCACCTCGGGCGTGAGGTCAGCAACGATATTGATATGCTTCTCGTAGTCGTTGGCCAATGTCACAATGGCCTCGCACGTCTTGCACATTCTTGCTGGGCGTTGGACAGCGTCGTCTTTGTGACCTCGAGCTGGTCATGCAGGGACTTCCTCTGCTGATCCCATGGTTTGGCTGCCAACGTTGATGCTTTCACTGCTTTCAACTCATTCACGGCCTGCAGGCAATGGTGCCCAGAGGTGCCTTCCATCTTCTTCCAAAACGTGGACCGCCGCCGAACACACAGCGATTGGATCTCGTTCGGATTCCTCTGGTGCCCGCACTCCCGTAGCTCCTTTGGGGTGACTGGACATCAAAGAGATTGGCGGAAGTAGCCGGCCGATTTCGGTGGGCGGCTCTCGGTGGGCAGCTGTCGGCGGGCGCCCCCTCTCTCTTTTATGTTCCCCTTGGGTTTCCTGTATATTAGTGATGTCGGTGGGCGTTACCTCTTTCTCTCTCACGCTCTCTCTCTCTCTCTCTTTGTTCTCGCTCTCTCTCTCTCTCTCTTTCTATCGCTCTCTCTCTCTCTATATATATCCCTCCTCTCTCTCTCTCTCTTTTGTTATCTTCTCTCTCTCTCTCGGCATTGATCACTTTTGTTTCGCACTTTTGGGGTTTCTCTCTCTCTCTCTCTCTTCATATATATACACATATGTATCCATTTCACTTTTTCTTGCTTCCCCGGCATGCAATGCATTATCTAATCGTTTTGTATGATGCTGTCGAAACTGCGGCTGGACATGGCCCTTTGGAACTTCTGGACCATCCATTGATTGGGGTTTGTCTCTGGTTTATTTTGGCGATCGAGGCTTAGGAGGGGTCTCGCTTGTGGGGCCGCCCCCAGATTCCGGTTGGGAACCTGCCCCAGACTTGCTCGCATCGTGCGGAATCGCGACGGGGAGAAACATGTAGCTGTTTTTGGGAACATCGCCGGGCCCTGGGGCCGCCCGAAGACTACGCAGAATGGCGGATTGGCCGTGGGGAAAGCGTCGGGATCTCCGCTGACCCTGTAGTGACCGTTGGCGGAGGGCGGAGGGCAAAGAGTCGTTACGAAGGAAGGGCGAGGGGCACGAGGAGGACGAGGGGCAGGACGGTAATTGGGGCAATCGGGCGAGGAGGGGGCAGCATTGGGGATGCGCGATGCCGCGAGGAAGTGCGAGGGAGGCGCGACCAGGCGCAGTCGTGGGGAGCTTCGACGTCGAACTGTAGGTTCCAGCGCCATGAAGTAGAATCTGGGCAAGTTGGGCAAGCTACATGGGCCCATCGAGACTGGTAAAGCTTCGAGCTGCGCACAGACAGCCCCAGCAGGGTGCCCCAGCTGATCCCAACAGGCCCCCCGAGTAGTGGTCCGGGGTGGTCTCAACGCCGCGGCGCCGTCTCCGGCCGGCGGCGCCCCCAGGGCGCTCCGCGTGGTCGGAGTGCTGAGACCGCCCGGGGCCACTCGAGGGGCCCGTGGAGGCCAGCCGGGACTCCCTTGGGAGGCTGTCTGTGCGCAAGCCGAAGCCTTGCCAATCGGGAGACATGCATCGAGGCATGTGTGTTCAGCTGTTTCGATTCCCGGAAGACGTGCCGCCTGCGTGTGGACGGCGCGCCCTGTGGTCTCACTCACCTTGCCTCTGTTGTTGTCGCTGACCGTGGCGTGGGCCAGGCGAGGGGAGGGGGAGGATTGGACTGGGAGTGGGGGGGAGTGTAGGGGGCAGCGCCAGGGGGGGACGCTCAGGGTGGCACGCTTCGACCCGCAATCGCCCGTGTATCGCCGATGGAGGCCTGCTAGCCCACACCGTCCAGGAACGAGCGGATTTGCTATCGGGAGCGAATCGCCGATCTGTCGGCGATTGATCGCCGATTCCAGCTCGATCTTCCCCCCTCTGAGTCGGTCCCTTCCCAACGCTCCCCCTCAGAATGGGAAGAGCGAGTCTAGGAGGGTGAGCGGCGAGGGAACGTGAGGCGAACCAACGGCATCCCATGAGCATCAGCTCTCCGGCGTTCGGGGACATCCGGAAGACTCAGTGTCTTTGGGTGGGGGAGGACGGCTGAGGATTTAGGGGCATGGGGAGAGCGGCCGGGACGGGGGAGGGGTAGGGGAAGATGGAGCACCAGAGGAGGAGTCCTGACAAGACCACAGGGGAGTTGGTTCCGCGGGGTCGGTCAGGGGCTCCCTTTTTGAGGAAAGGCCTGACCGAGTCTAGATCGCCCCCTTCGCCTTGGTTTGGTCGGGACTTCCCTCGGGAGCCAGAGCTCTGGCTCCTCTTCCACAAGCCGGCGTCGACCCCGCGGACCTCTCCAGGGGGGCCCCTGAATGGCCGAGGGGCCCCCGACCCTCGATCCTCGGCCTTGCCCGACCCTCGGTCCTCCTCGGTCCTCAGTCCCCGACGCCGACCCTGGATCCCGAATTCCCCTCCCGTCAATCCTTAGTCCCCGCCTCGATCCTCCTCGGTCCTCGGTCCCCGCCTCCTCGATCCTCAGTTCTCCCGTCTTCGATCCTACCCCGTGGCTGGATCCTTGGCCGTGCTGCGTCAAGCACAAAGTTCTGGTCAAGTGCTGGTCTGCTGTGCTGTTTCGAGCATCGTCGATCCTCCTCGACTCTCCCGCCGGCGTGGACGTGCCGCGCCGCCGCCGAGGCGGCGGAGATCGCGCCGGCCATGGAGAAGATGAACAAGAAGGGCTACGAGGCCGCCGCGCCCTCCCGCTGCCGCGGGTTGCGGCCGCCGCCGAGGAGAGCCGATGCTCGCGGGCGGATTGTCTGCTGATGTTGGTGAGTACCTACGGGAGTTGATCTATGGACATGTTTCCAGGCCCTCTTGCTCGAGCGCGGGTTTCTCCGAATGTGTGACGTTGCATGCCCAGCCGCGACGACAACGGCTCCCGCTCGATACCTCGTCGTCTTTCACCCCTGGACGGCCAGAGCGGCGCTCCTTGACTCCCCACTCGGGACCCCTGGACCCCTGGACACCCCCAATTCGGACACGGCGCTCTCGCTCGAGACCCCCTTGCAAGTTACTCAAGTTAGTGAAGCCCCAGCTGCGACGATGAGGGCTCCCGCTCGATACATCCCCCTAATTCTTCACGCTTAGCGTATTCCCACCCGCTCTTGGCTGCGCCCCCATCTTGTTCGCTAAGATTGCACCAATCGCAGCGTGAGTCTCAGGCGCCTGGGCACACACCCCGCGCCCTGGGCTGTGGCGGCGCCCCCTCCTCCTCCTCCCTCCTCCTTCTCCTCCTCCCTCTCCCCCTTCATTCACAATGTCTCTGCGGCTTTTGGCTGCACCCCCCCCGGACGGAGAGTGCTGCGACTGCAGAGGTGCGTCCGCCCTGGGTCGGTCCGTGCATGGATGCCCAGAGCGCAACATCTGTGTCCAGCAGCATCTGGCTGCACCCCCCTCCGTTCCTTCACAAGTCTCTGCGGCTCTTGGCTGCGCCCCCCCGCGATCAACGGCAGAGACAACATCGTGCGTGGGTATTGTGACATGCCCAGGGAGCAACAGTGTCGACCAAGCCCAGCAGGTCAGCACGCAACCTGCGCAAGGTGCGGACCTGCGGCCAGGCTGCGGCGGGTGTCTGCCTGCCCCAGCTCCGGTCGCATCCGTCCTCCGCAGGGGCAGCGTGGCATGTGGTGGACGGGGGTGGTACCACGCACCATGGTGAGTGCCCACGCCGTATGAGCGGCCCGTATCGCGTGGTTCAACCTTCAGCGGTCAGGTTGTGGTTCTTCTCGGCGCAGCCACTTGCCAAGACCTCGCCGGGACATCGCATTTTTGGGCCCCCGAGCCGCGTGTGCCGGATACGATGTGGATACTGGCTATCGGCTGGCTGCCAGCCTCCGAACGCTGCCGTGATGCGGCAGTGGAGTGGGGTGAGCCCTTCCACGGTGACACCGGCGCTCAGCGGCAGGCAGCGCCACCCCCCACCTGCGTATCGCCTTGGTTCTACGTTGACCCGATCATGGCGCCACCACAAGGACGTCCTCTACTGGCTTCATGACAAGTGGAGATCGGCGTGTTCGTTCGCCTCACTTCCGGTGTTACCTGATGTCTGGCTTCACCAGGGAGTGGTCCTGCACGAGTGGTTCATCCTTCTGCAGTTCATGGCCGTTCCCCTAGCAGACCTGTCTGCATCAGCCTCTGTCAGTACTTGCATCGTTGTGGCCCCGAACCGCGAGAGTCGGATACGTTGTGTATGCACTGGCTACAGGCTGAAGGTGACGCCACCCCGTGTTCGCTGACGGGGTCGCCTCCCTCTCATGTGCAAGGGCGGGCTTCAGCCGAGTTCTGCGCCAGGGAGCCATGCTGAGTGAGGCCATTCTCTGTGCCGCCCTCTCTTTTTCTTGATGATGCTGTGTGCCTGGCTGACGTCCGCACCGGCTCTCTCGTCCCCTTCTTGGCCTCGCTTCCGTGTGTCGTTCGGCCGGAGACAGGCGCCGCCAGGGCGGCTTATCCCCGCTGTTCCAGTACCGTTCCAGTGCTGGTCGCCGCGTTCCCACCCATTGGGATGCCTGGCTCGATCACCTGGCCACGCTGTACCGCCGTTGCCGCCGCTCGCTGCGACGTGGCGCCCCCGCCCGCCTGGATGTCGGCGCCGGTCTTCGGTGTTTAATTTGGGTCATTTTGTCCCTTGCATGTGCATGCGCCTCTTCGGCTAATTATCTTCGTTTCGCGCCCTTTTCGATGCCCCGCTTCCTGACCTTCGCCTGGGGGCCGCCAACAAACCAAGTATTCCCACCCGCCTTCGTCGCCACCGGCGTGAGCCCCATCTTGCCCCCCCCCCCCCCCCCCTGCGGCTCGTGGATGGCGTCGGCCATGCGGATCGACTGCGCGGCCCTGGAGATGGCTTGTTGGATGTGCCGGCGTGTTATACGCTTACGCTCTTTCGCGGCAGTGGCCACTCTGTGACGCCCCAGCTGTGTGCTTTGGCCTGCGCACGACGCTCTACTACAAGTTATGGCTCCTCCTGTTGGGGCTCTCGTTTTTTTCTTGGCCTGACCCTGAGCTGCGGCGGCGCGTTTCCTCTCTCTCTCTCTGTCGTGTGTTTTGTTTCGCCTCTTGTTCTGTCTCGTCCCGTGTGTCCCTCTTCCCCCTCGCGCTGTCTTCGTCCCGCTTGCGCTGTCCGCGTAGGGGCCTGTTCCTTTTTTCCGCTGATCGACCCTGTTGGCGGTGCGCGGCCTCTTCCGCGTCACTCGCAATCAAAAAGTGCCCCCGCCCGCCCGCTCAGAAACCGTGCCCATGAGAGCTGGCCGGGGACGTGCACGAAGAGACATCCAGTGACAAAGTAGGGCAAACAGGATGAACGGACATATTTGTGGGGCCTCTTCGGGCCATTCCTGGGGCCCGCGGGGGGGGAGGGGGGGGGAGAGGGGGGGCGGGGAGGAGGAGGAGGGGAGGAGGAGGAAGAGGAAGAGGAGGAGGGAGGGAGGAAGAGGAAGAGGAGGAGAGGAGGAGGAGGAGGAGGAGAGAGGAGAGGAGGAGGAGGAGGGGGAGGAGGAGGAGGAGGAGAGGGAGGAGGAGGAGGAAGAGCAGGAGGGGGAGGAGGAGGAGAAGGAGGAAAAGGAGGAGGAGGAGGAGGAGGAGGAGGAGGAGGAGAGGGAGGCACACTCACCGCCATTTCCGGCCCTCGCGGAACGCTTTTGTGGCGTTCTTAAACGTTTTTGGGGCCGCCTTGGGGCCCTTTTGGGGCTTTCCTGGGGCCCCTTGGGGCCCTCTCGGGGGCCCCGTCAGGCCCTTTGGGGCCGTCCCGTAGGGCGTCGATCAAAGGAGGGGTGGTCCTCGATTTCCCTGCACCTTCGGGGGCCCGCGGAATCGCCTCTCGGATCCCTTTGCTGTAAACGAAAGTGCCCCCAAACTCAAGAACGGCGCTGACGCTCGAGACTTCCCGCCACCCAAGTCAACCAAGTTGGTAAAAAAGGCCCCGCTACAACGAAGACTGCTCCCGTTCGTTTCTCCCTTAACCGCAAGATGCCCTTGCTCGAGAGGCCCCCAATTGAGGAACCTCGCTCTCGCTCGCGACTTCCTTGTCAGTTTCAAAATTGTGCAGGCCCAGCTGCGACGGCAACGTTTCCCGTTCGAGACATCCTCACATTTCATTCCGAGACGCTTTGTCCAGAGAGGCCTCGAGACGTGAACGGCGTTCTCGCCCGAGGTTTCTCGCATTACGGCCATGGCGGCGCGGTGCGCATGTATATTCACGGTTGAATGCTTCCCCTCAGGAACTGGTATTTGCAGAAAGCCCTTCCAAATGGCGGCGACACGGGGGAGGGAGAAACGCATGAGCGCCAAACTTTCTTGTCGGATCACATGTTGCCGAGGGTTCTCATATACATATATATATATATAATGGGGAACTTTGAGCCTCAGACTGCGTTGCTGGCTTCCGGTGTGATGCAACAGCGGTTCCGCCGGATGTTTCCTTTTATGTATTCGCAATCGCTCTCTCGCGAGGGATTCTTTTACAAGTGATCCAAACATCGCTTTCGTGCGGGACGTCGCTGCAATTTATTGAGGCGCCGCGCCCTCGAATCTCAGGAACCACGCTCTTGCTCTGGACCTCATTACGGTTTACCTAGGAGTCGCGCTATCGTTCAACATGTTCTCTCGCTGCATGCAGGATTGACGTTTCACCGACCCGCCCGCTCAACCCCGCCGTCTGGGCCCGCCTTCCCGACCCGCCCGTTAGGGTTTGCCCGCCCGGCCCGCCAGTTTGGTTCCGTCGCTGGTTTTTTTGGTCTGACCCCCCCCGCTAATCTTTTTCGTGCCCCATCCTACTCCCTTCCTCTTGTCCCTTCTCTTCCTCTCTCCCTTCCCCTGTTGTGGGGGCTGGGCAGGCAAGGAGCATATACCCTTGAGGGGGGAGGGTACGATCGAGGACGGAGAGGCCTCGCACCGAGGGGTTAGGACAAATAATGTGGATGACACGCGGGCAGATAAACACGATCAATATCAAGGTGTTGTTGTTGTTTGTTGTCGTTCTTGCTGGTGTTGGTGTTGGCGTTGTTGTTGCTTGTATTGTTTTTGTTGATGGTGGTCGAGTTGTTTTTGGTGCTGGTGTTGTTGCAGTAGTTGTGGTTATGGTTGTGGTTAGTTGAGGTTTTGGTTGTGGTTTTGGTTGTGGTTGCTGTTGTTACTGTTGTTGTTGGTGTTTATTTTGGTGTTGGTGTTGTTGTTTGTGTTGTTGGTGTTGCTGTTGCTGTTGCTGTTGCTGCTGCTATTGTTGTGGTTGTTGTTGTTGTTGTTGTTGTTGTTGTTGTTGTTATTGTTGTTGTTGATGCTGATGTTGGTTCAGGCGCGACCCAGCACCTCAGCCCCCCCGATCAACCAGAACCCCAGCAACCCCCACAGGGGGGCCGAAGGCCCTCCTTTGGGGTTGCTGGGATTGCCTACATAATTCTTACGGAACCCTCAAGGGCCTAACTGGGGCGCCTATAGAGTTCCATGGGGGCCCTATGAGATCAACGCGGGAACCTCATAGGATCCGTATGGAACCTTGACGGGGCCTTCCAGGATCTTTGCGGGACCTACTAGAGCCCCGACAGTATCTTTGCATAACCCCATCGAAGACACTTACGGCGAATCACCGCCTCTCCCTGCCTTTTGGAATCACTCATGTGGCCGGAAGTCGTGGCCAGAGCTCTGCCAAGCTATCGGACCATGTGTCCCCCCAGCCGTGGTGGAAACCCTTCGGAGAACGCGCGGGTGAGAACGGAGAAGCGGAGGAGAGGGAGGACAAATAGGAGGAGGAAGCGCAAAAGGAGGACCACTCTAAACCCAATATTCATCAGCGATGTCGAAATACATCCCCCTGCAAGATCCTCCTTCACAGACCCCTACAAGCGGTCATCTCCATTGAGGGAGTTACCCCGTTGGGGGAACACCGTGTGAGCATCTTGAAGCGAGCCAAAACACCATTCTCAGGACATCATTGCCCTGACTGTTACACCTAATCTGGCGCAACTCAATATCGGCACCTAATCTGGCGCACTCTGGGACTGGAACGCGGTCTCACCTAGCGAACGGAAGGCGCTCGCGTGATGTCCCGTTTCTGGCGACTTGCTGGAGGCAAAGCGCGGGCCGCGCCCGGGAGGGAGCGGAATTGTAGAACATACGTGCGTTGCGTTTCTGTTTGAAGATTTGTTGGACATCTCTTGGATGGCAACGGTTCCAAGGAGGTCAGAAAAAAAAAGGTGAAGCATGTTTCGCGCCGAAACAGTTATGTGTTTCACCAGCAAGTTGCTCGCTTCCTCAGCGAAGACAGGAGTTCGCTGCCGCTGCTGCATACAGGCAACTAATCGAGCGGGACGCGCAGCGCCCACGCTCGAATGCCGCTTCCAGACGAATTGTGCAAGGAGCTTTGGCGAGGGCGACAGATCGCCGCCGCCTCCAATCACTTAAGCGAGTTATAGACATGCGTCGCGCCGAGGCGAGATCGCCACTTTCAGTCGGAGTCTTCGCGGGGCTGAGTCGGAAGCGACATTTGCGCCCGCCCACCAGCGTGAGTCCAATTCTCAGCAGAAGTGAGTGCGGCACCGAGGCGAGAGCGTCACATCTCTCCCTCTTGCCCCTCTGATTCCTGCCGCGCATCTGGCAACTTCGACGCGGACACGCCGACGCTGAAAGGAAGCACGCCGACTACGTATGGGTCGGGTGGGGGCACCGGGATCAGGTGGCCACCTGCCGGTTAGGTGGAACAGTGTATGTATATACAAACATGGAAGAATGATCGGGTGAGGTCGGGAGGAGGAGCAGGATGAGGAGGCGGAGGGTTGCATCCGACGGATCCAATCGCTTTCAGGTTGTGAGCTCGTCGTGATGAGTAGAAGGAGGAGGAGGACCGACGCGCCTCGCTCGCCCCCCTGCGCCCTTCCCACACCCCGTTCCCTCCTCCTCGTCGTCCTCGTCCACCTCCACCTTTCTCTCTCATCCTCGCTCGTCCCTTCCTCCGCCCCTCCACTCCCCCTACAGTCAACACGCTGAGAGAAGGATTACCTTGGGCTCGGGAGAGACTCTGGTTTCAGGGCCGGCCGATCCTTGTATATTTTTCGGGGATTCTCCTAGTAGACGAGGCTCGCCGAGGTCAAAAGAGCCTCTCGTTCCTATTCAGCGTCCCTGATGGTAGGTAGCACGATGACGGTATCCCCTGCCATCCCATTAGTAACAATTAAACCTTATGAAAACGATTATCCGTCTTCACCTACAGTTGTCCGGAAGATCTCCCGCCTATTCCGCATGCTGTTGTTCCCAACCATCCTGTGGTGTTGGGTCCTTGTTTTGAAGAGACGGTCCCCGCGTCTCCTTCCTTCCTCCTCCCGCTGCCCACTCCCTCATCCCCCTCCTCCTTCCTCCCTGCGTTTCACCCACCCAATGCAGCGCTTCGTGGCACCCTGGGGAGCTCCACCTGCGGCCCCAGTGGGGGTGGCCACATGCGTCCGCGACACCCAGTACAGTGTTTCGTGGCCCCATAGGGAGCTCCACCCAGAGCCCCAGCGGGGGTGGCCACATGCGTCCGCCACACCCAGTGCAGCGCTTCGTGGCCACCTGGGGAGCTCCACCTGCGGCCCCAGTGGGGGTGGCCACATGCGTCCACCACACCCAGTGCAGCGCTTCGTGGCCACCTGGGGAGCTCCACCCAGGGCCCCAGCGGGGGTGGCCACATGCGTCCGCCACACCCAGTGCAGCGCTTCGTGGCCACCTGAGGAGCTCCACCTGCGGCCCCAGTGGGGGTGGCCACATGCGTCCACCACACCCAGTGCAGCGCTTCGTGGCCACCTGGGGAGCTCCACCCAGGGCCCCAGCGGGGGTGGCCACATGCGTCCGCCACACCCAGTGCAGCGCTTCGTGGCCACCTGGGGAGCTCCACCTGCGGCCCCAGTGGGGGTGGCCACATGCGTCCACCACACCCAGTGCAGCGCTTCGTGGCCAGCTGGGGAGCTCCACCCAGGGCCCCAGCGGGGGTGGCCACATGCGTCCGCCACACCCAGTGCAGCGCTTCGTGGCCACCTGGGGAGCTCCACCTGCGGCCCCAGTGGGGGTGGCCACATGCGTCCGCGACACCCAGTGCAGCGCTTCGTGGCCCCATAGTGAGCTCCACCCAGAGCCCCAGTGGGAGTGCCCACATGCGTCCGTCACACCCAGTGCAGCGCTTCGTGGCCCCATAGGGAGCTCCACCGAAAGGCCCTTGTGGCACCGCCCGCATGCGTCGTCCACCCCCAGTATTGCATTTCGTGGCCCCATTGATTGGGAGCCCCACCAAGCCCCAGTGGCACCGTCCGCATGTGCCCCCCCCCCCCGCCCGGTACATTGTTTCGTGGCCTCGTAGGGAACTCCAGTGGCCCGCCCGCACGCGACCCCCCCACCCATTGCAGCGTCTCGTGGGCCCATAGGGAGCTCCACCGAGGGCCCCAGTGGCACCGCCCGCATGTGTCGGCCACCACCCAGTGCAGCGTTTTGTGGCCCCGTGGGGAGCCCCACCGAAGGTCCCAGTGGCACCGCCCGCATGCGTCGGCCACCACCCAGTACAGCGTTTCGTGGCCTAATCGGGAGCTCCAGCGAGGGGCACCGCTCGCATGCGCCAGCCACACCCAGGACAGCGTTTCGTGGCCCATAGGGAGCCCCACCGAAGGCCCCAGTAGCACCGCCCGCAGCGTCTCCCCCACCCATTACGGGCACCCACAACGCGTTATTTTACAGAGGTTGTCAGCAGCTGGTTGTTCTTTTCAAGGCTTTTTTCGCTATGATTTGTTTCCGGTGTTGAAGAATGGTGCTCTTGCTTCAACGTGGGGATTCTCGGATCGGAGTTTTGCTTCCGTCGTTCAGAACAGCGCTCTCGCCCTAGTGCGGGCCACTTTTGTGGATCCGAGTGTTGCTTCATTGTGGTCCTCCTCATGTCCTCTCCCCCGCCTTCCCCTGGTCCTCTTGTTCCTCCCGATCCTTCCGCTTGAGTTCCTGCTGCTGCAATTCGTCTCGCCCAAGCCAAGGGCGGGCCACTTTTCTGAATCCGAGTCTTTCCCTCCTCGTTCCCCCTCCTCCGCCTTCCCCTGGTCCTCCTGTTACTCCCGATCCTTTTCGGTTTTGTACCTTCTGCCGGTGCTGCTGTTCGTTATCATTTTTTTGTTCCCCCGTTGATCCTCCTGCTCACCCGTCATCTCCTCCTCCTCCTCCTCCTGTGCACGCAGCTCCATTTTTCTGATTGCGCAGAACTCGAAGTGTTCTTCCTGTGGGAGTCTCGGGTAGGCTATGACACGCGTCCGCAGACAGAAACACATCAGCGCCCCAGGAGAAGGGGTGGGATGGAGGGAAAGGATGTCAGATGAGGCGCGGGCGCACTTAGTTTGACCCTTCCCCCTCTCTCTTGCTTCCCCTGCCTTTCCGTCATGCCCCTTTCCCTCCCCTCATCGTCCTCTCCCTCTGCCCCTCGCAGCTGCACTCGTCCTTGACGGTCCCGAGGTGCTCTACATGGTCGACCCGCTTGACGAGATCTGCAGCCAGAGCATTGTGGACTTCGACGGGCGGAAGCTCGTGGACATCAACAAGGCGGGCAGGGCCGTTGGAGGGCGTGGCTCGTGAGAGGAGGGGAAAACTGATGAGGAGAAATTCGAGCGAGAGAGGGAAGGGGGGGGGAGGATTTGCAGGACTCCTGCTGGTCCTCCTGCATCCCCTTCCCCTGTCTCCTTCTCCCCCCCCCCTTGGGGAGGATGGAGTACAGCGGTTGAGCTGAACGTTTCTGTAGGGCCCCTCGAGTCTTTACATGTGGAGTCGTGCGGAGGGCTAGCCAGGGAGGATGTGCAGGAGGGAGAGGATGAGTAGGAGGCTTCGGTACCACGTGGGTGTAGCCCTCCCCCAAGTGGCCTTCACCGTTGGCGGGGGGGAGGGGGACGGAATACATGAGGATGCTCGAGGATGCGCCAATGCATCCTTCAGGGGGAGGGCCACGCTACATTCGGCCTCGTACTAATGGGCATTGCCCCTCTCCTCAATCTCCTCTCCCCACTCCTCCTCCTCCCTGTGCTGCCTCCCTCCCACGTTCCTTCCTTTTTCTCGTATTATGTGTTTTCTCATCCCTTCCCCAAACAGTGCTTGCACTTAGGGTTGGTTTCTGACTTGGCTTCTAGCGTAGTTGAGCTTCAGTGGCGGTCTGGCCAGCTTGTCGTCGCCCGTCGCCGTCGCCGCCGCCGCTGGTAATTGGGCCCCAGTGGCGGTCCGACCGGCTCATCGCCGCTCGTTGCCGCCGTCGCCGCTGAATTGTTTTGCATTGCAACCGCATTGCATTGCTTTGCATTGCTTTGCGCTGCTTTGCGTTGCTTTTCTTTGCTTTGCATTGCTTTCCATGTCTTTACATGGATTTACATTGCTTTACGTTGCGTTGCACAACAGTTGCACCACCTAGATTGCACCACATTGATTGCGCCACCTAGATTGCACCACATACTTTGCAATAAATCAGTGTTCGGGGTCCACGCTGGCTGACATATTCTCATTCGTACCCTTACAGCAGACATCATCCGATATGACTTCCCCGACTCCTGTACAGGGCCCAGTGAGTCGCCCTGGATATATTTTGAGCCCAAACAATGGCCCCTGATGCCGAGATCCAGGAACAACCGACAGGACTGACAACATCAGACCGTCGGATACCTGGCACTATTCTCCCCCTCCTTTTACACTTCCTCCCCGCTCTGCCTCCTCCCCCTCCCCTGTTCTTCCCGAGTCGCGGCCCCCCGCCGACGGGCGGCAGGCGGGCTTGGACTTGGACAAAACTGAGGACGAGAAGACCAAGTTCGAGCAGCTCACAAAGGACGCGGGCAGGAGGAGGGGGAGAGTGGGGGGAGGAGAGGTGAGAGGGGGGATGATGATCGAGGACCGAGGTTTTGAAAGTTTGTCCCAACCATCCTATGGCGTTGGGGCCTCTTTTTTGCGAAGACAGCGCCCCACTTCACCTCACCTCACCTCACCTCCCTCCTCCGCTTCCTCCTCCTCCTGCTCCTGCTCCTGCTCCTCGTCCTCCTCTGCCTCTGCCCTACGCGCGCTCGGCACACCCCTCACGCGTTTCGTAGCCACACAGGATGCTCCGCCGAAGCCCTCAGGGGGGGGGTCGCATGCGGTCCCCCACTCATCACCGCACTCTCCTCCACAAGTTTAGTGGCCCCACCTGGCCCGGAGGTCCACCGAAGCCTTTGGAGGGGGGGGGGTCGCATGCGGTTCCAGACCAATTTCGCCCCCCCCCCCCCCCCCCTCCCCTCCATCCCCCATCACACGTTTCGTGCCCCCCATAGGGAGCTCTCTGAAGCCCTCCAGGGGGGGTCGAGGTCGCATGCGGTTCCCCAGCAATTTCGGCACAGCCCCTCACACGTTTCGTGGCCGTACAGGGAGCTCCACCGCAGGCACAAGCGGCACAGCCCGCATGCGTCCCCAGGCCCATGTCGGCCCGCCGCTCACACGTTTCGTGGACCCGCAGGGATCTCTACCGAAGGCCCCGGTGGCAGCGCCTGCATGTGTCTCCAAGCCCCCGCACGCCTCACGCGTTTCGTGGCCGCACACGGAGCTCCATCGACAGCTCCGTAAGTAGGCAGTGCCTGCATGTGTCCGCAGCCAGGCCCAATCCGACACGCCCCTTACACATTTAATGGCCCCACTGCGAGCTCCATTGAAGGCCCCAGACGCAGCGCCTGCATGTGTCCCCAGGCCCATGTCGGCGCACGCCTCACACGTGTCGTGGCCGCATTGGGAGCGCCACCGAAGCCCTTCAGGGGGGGTGTCGCATGCGGTTTCTTACCCATTTCGGCACACGCCTCACCCATTTCGTCGTGGCCCGAGCTCCACCGAAGGCCCCAGTGACACAGCCCGCATGCGTCTCCAGGCCCATCTCCGCACGCCTTTCACAGGATTCGGGGGCCCATTGGGAGCTCCACCGAAGCCCCAGTGGCAGCGCGTGCATGTGTCCGCAGGCCCATTCTGGCACATGCCTCAGAAGTTTCGTGGCCGCACAGGGAGCTTCACCGAAGGCCCCAGCGGCAGCGCCTGCATGTTTCCCCAGGTCCATTTCGGCACAACCCCTCGTACGCTTCGTGGCCCAATAAGGAGCTCCACCGAAGGCTCCAGTGGCAGCGCCCGCATGTCACCACCGCACTTGTCTCGGCACACGTATTGCACGATTCGTGGCCCCACTGGGAGGTCGACTGAAGGCGGCACACAAGTGCGATCCTGCGCCAGGATAATTGTTTTGTGTTGTTTTGTGTTTGTGCTGCACTCCTTGCCCTATGTCTTCGGCGCGAGAATCGCCTCTCGCCCCCGTCTCGCTTCTGGCGGTGAAGCGCCTGGGCTGGGCTTTCGGCGGGTTTACTGCGCCCAAGCAGCCCTTTTTAGTTGCTGCCCCCTTCACGCTCCACTCGCTGGTCTCTGGTCCTCCCCCGGTGTGGGGCCATTTCCACGTACTCACGTGGGCTCGCCTAACGCAGCCATCCACCCGCGAAGCCGTGCGAAATTCAGGTTGCATCCCATTCCAGCTCTCGCTGTGTTGGTGACATTCCGTCGGAGGTAAAACATTCGTGTGTGTGTGCGTGTGTGTGCGTGTCGACTGCTGGCCTGCGGGCTCTCCTCGCTTTCGGCCTGCCTTCGCTGGCCTCCTGCACCGCTTTGCTGACCGCCTGCCGCCTTGACTCCGTGTCCATTCTGTCTGCACTGCGCCTCCACTTGCCTGTCATCGCTGGGCTGTGCTGCTCGGTTCCCCGTCCACCAACCCGGGTATGCGGATGGCACTGTTGATCCATGGCTAGATCCTTGGCCTAGCTTCTGAGGGGCTGGCCGCGCGCATCCTCTGCCTTTCTCTGCGTTTTTTTCTACACCTCGTCGCTGCGCGCGAGGCGGCGACCGCCAACAAGTGCGCATGTGCTTGCTTGCGTGCGTGCGTGCGCGCGCGTGCGTGCGAGTATGTGTGTGTGTGTCTGTGTGTGTGTGTGTCTGTGTCTGTGTTTGTGTATGCGTGTGTGTGTGTGTGTGCGCGTGTGTGTGTGTGTGTGTGTTTGTGTGTTTCTTGGTGTGTCTGCACACCTGGGGACCTCTGGGGAGGATGATGACGAGTGATGCGGTGGAGGCGAATGAGGTCTCTGGTGGTGTTCTGCAGCCTTCGGAGGGCCCCGGGGCTTCTGGACGCATCCAGATCCAACCCAGGCGGTGCTAACACTGTTCCGTGCATCGCAGCCGGTGTCGCCGTAAAGACTCGCTGGCACTACAGAAGCCAGGAGCACAGGATGTTAGTTCACCTCGACACAGGCAAGCTCCATTTGTTGAAAAGTCTCGTTGCAAGGAGTTCTGCCTTTTCACAGCCACGATCTGCATCCCGAGAATATAAATCCAAACCCACCCTGAGCGTGATAGGATGGACACAGAGCCCAGATATACGCGAGAATGCACCAACATATTGAGGACCACGCCAGCGAAAGCAAGTATTGACACTGCGAGGGGCGGGAACGAATCGATGAGCGATAATAGACAAACATAGGCTTGTGTGTGTACGTGTGTGTGTCTATGTCTGTGTCTGTGTCTGTGTCTGTGTCTGTGTCTGTGTTTGTGTGTGCGTGCACGAATTCCCCCGAACTCCTGTTCACGGAGCTTCAGATGCTGAGACTGCGCTTGCAATGGTCCCATTGACTCGTCTGGAATCTGTTTGAATACGACACCCGTCGAAACCTTGACTTCACGGGTTCCCAATCGGTCTCAATGAATGGAATTTGTCAAGTAAGAATACGCCATCCTCGTTGTCTTGATGGCCTTTCTGAGGTCCCAATCCCGCGTTTCATTGAGCTACGTATTCGCGGAGGCCCAACCAGGAGGAGAGGGAGGGGGAGAGTAAGTGGTGGAGGAGGGGAGGCACGAGGAGGCGGAGGAGGAGGAGGGGTACCCTCGCCCTGCTCGAGCCTGCCGCCAGAATTTGATCCTGGCCCCGCCCAGGGCCCCTTTCGATCCGATCGATGCGGCGCGAGATGAGCTCGCCGCACTCGATCCGACCGGGTCTCGATCTCCCGGCGATGCGATGCGGCCCGGTGCGGAGCGTGCCCCTGCGACCGCGTGCCCGCGGGGCTGCGCTCCGGAGTCCAAACCGCGAGGGCGCGCGGATGCGGATGCCTGCCGCCGCTCGTGCGCGGGGGACGGGTGGGCCGCCCCGTGCGCGAGGAGTACGAGGAGCTGGCCGCGTGGCTGAAGAAGCAGCTCGGAGAGCGGGTCCGGGCCTCGGCCCCCCGGGAGCCCCCCTTCCCGTGTCCCCCCCGGGTCCGGGTGCGGTGGGCTCGTGCCGTGTCGATGCAGCGGCGACCCCGCCGTGGGCGTCCCCCCTCGACGTTCCCCCCGGCTCCCGGAAGCAGTGGGCCGACGGAGCAAGACGTCGCGGAGGTTGGGAGAACCCATCCTGCCGAGCCGTTCGCGGCAGGCCCGCGCCGTGTCGACGCGACGGCGACCCCGCCGGGGGCGTTCAAGGCTCAACGCCGCCAGGGGGCAAGGGGATCGACCAATGTGGAACGGTGTGGCGATCGACAGGCCGCCGATCGGTCAAGGTTGAGTGATCCACGCGGTGTCAGAAGCCACCGCCAGGCCCTGCTGCTTCTTTTTTCAGGAAGCGCAGACATGGAGTATGGCGCTTGCATTAGCGGCGAGTCCCCAGGTGTCTACATGGGGATCGAGTGCCCTGCATTACGCGCTGCAGGTAATGCACCACAGGAAGAGTACTGCGCGTTGTTGCTGTCGTCTGCCGCCGTCGTCGTCGTCGTCGTCGTCGTCATCGTCGTCGTCTTCGTCCATGAACTCGTGGATACCTCTGACATCATTGCGCCATCACCACTTATGTTGTTTCTAAGCCTCCCAGTCCGAGCAGATGGGGTCGGTGGATCGCGCCGCCTCGCCGATGCATCTGCTATGCGACTCGGTGTGGAGGCCGATCCACCCCGCTGTCGCCGATGCATCGCCAGCGTCGCCAATGCATCGCCGATGCATCGCCAGCGTCGCCAATGCATCGCCGATGCATTGGCGATGCATCGGCGATGCTTCGCGATCTTGTGACCCCATCTACTCGGACCCCGTTTGGGAGTCCTCTACCCTTGGACTCTGCTGCTTCTGCTGTTCTTCCTCCTCGCCTGCCCTCCCACCCTCCCACTTGGCAGAAACACAACCTGTCGGAGATCCGCGCGGATTCCTCGGATCTGTGCTGAATCTCGTTGGTGGCGCCTCCTGAGTTGCCCTTGCGGCTTACTTTGTTTGGTTGTTCTGTCCCTCCGCGTCCGCCCTCGTCTGGCCCAATATTCGGCACGGGACCAGCTCTTCATCCTGAGTGGTTCTTGACGGTGCAGGGGCCCGGGAGAAGCTCTAGGGCAATGACAATCGCAACACGTTGTCAGGGCATTTGTCCCCCAGGTCTCCTTCAGAGTGAGGGGGCCGATCGGGTTTACACTCTGCCTGGGTGCGTTGCTGAAGTGGGGTTTGGCGGTGCACACTTTTGTGGCTTTTGAATCTTATTGATTTCGTAAAACCCCGCAGATGCGGATAAGAGTGATGGGGCGGTGAGGACGTCGGCAGCTTGCGAGACTCTTGAGCAGCCCGCCGCAGGCGCCAAAATTTCACAAATTATTCAACGAGTCCGCCGCAGGCGCCGATTTTTTCTTCAAGCCAATGTGGATCGGTCGCGGGTGGGGCTCGGGCGGGTCAGGTCGCGGGTGGGTCGCGGGTGGGTCGCGGGGTGGGTCGCAAGTGGTTCGCGGGTTGGGTCGCGGGTGGGTCGCGAATAGGTCGCGGATGGGTCGCGGGGTGGGTCGCAAGTGGGTCGCGGGGTGGGTCGCGGGTGGGTCGCGGATGAGTCGCGGGGTGGGTCGCGGGTGGTTCACGGGTTGGGTCGCGGGTGGTTCGCGGGGTGGGTCGCGGGGTGGGTCGCGGGGTGGGTTGATGGGTCGGTCGCGGGTCGGGTCGCGGGTTGGTCGCGGGGGGGACGACGGCAACACACAACAATAACAACAACAACAACAACAACAACAATCATTTTACCCGAACGCGTGGTGTTCTCCCCAGTGCCAGGGTTTTCATACGACACCAGGCAATACCCCCACTTCGTGGGGGGGCATTACAAGCTCTACCAAATATCCAAACGACTCTTCGCGACCACCCAAACCCAGCTTCCCGCCCTATGACGTTGGGACACTTCACTTCGTGGCGTGCGGACGACCGTGGCTACTACACTGGCGTGGGGTACACACCCACAGAACTTGGTCACTTATTCGGGGCGCGCATGTGCCCAGCATGGTGCAATTGTGCCATACAATACATAATACAGAGAGACAGAGAGAGAGACAGAGAGCAGACAGAGAGAGAGACAGAGAGAGCGGAGTTGGTCACATTTTTGGGTCAAGTTCCTGGGATGATGCGAATACAGATTCTGGCCCCTGGCAGGCGCGCGAACCCCGTTGCAAGAGCGTGCGAAAGTAGCTCGCGCGAGCTCATGTAACATAAATGTTGGAAAACCATTGGTTTTTTTAGGATTCGGACAGCGCGCGCGGGTGGAAATTTTGAAAAGTCGTGCAGCTGTTTTTCGAGGACCTACGGTGCGATTCGTGTGATTTTATGATGCGCGGTGGTAAAATTCTTAAGAACCCAATGGTTTTTGGAGATTTCGGCGTGCGCGCGCGAAGAAAAAACGAATGTGTCCCGCATGGTATTATTTGACAGGGATGATGGCCCTGGCAGGTGCGCAACCGTTGTCGCAGAAGTTCGAAAAAGTTGCTCGCAAAAGCCCGTTTGACAGAAATGTTTAAAAAGTGTTGGGTTTCCTACGAATCCGCAAGAGCGCGCGGGATGAGATTTTGACATTTTTTTGTTGAAAAACCATTGGTTTTTTTGATGTTTTTATGTTGAAATCGCTCCGAACACTAAGCTTTTGGAAGGATTTCGTCTTGCGCGCGCGAATGTCCACTTTACCTTATTTTTTGCAAGGGATTCTTGAAATTTGATTATATTAGAACAAGAAATGTCATTTTATAGTGTTTTTTGCAAGGGAAAGCGGGGGGGAACAAAACAACCGGATCTTGATCACATCGAATTACCTGAGGCTTCCTCACGAAAATGATGAAAATGTAGCTGCGGCCTAGGCGGCGCAGGGGGGCCGTGCACCAGGGGTCCCAACAATAATTATTCTTTAGAATTAATAATGTTCAACAACAACAACAACAGCAACAACAACAACAACAGCAATAACAACACCAACAACAACAACACCAACAACATTAACAACAACAACAACAACAACATCAACGTCAACATCATCAACGACAACAATAATCATTTTACTCTCATGCGCGATGTTTCCACACGAAGCATGCGACCATAATGATAACCATCCACGTAATGAGGGACTCTTGTTCTATAGCGGGGTCCGTTATTCCCATCCCCAGATCTCCCGCCCAGTCAGGTCTTGCAATCACCTCCGATACATTTCAACAGATCCCGCTTCATTGGGGCGGGGGGGCGGCCTGCGAAACTCTGTCCATGGCCAATGAAAAAAGGATGAGGGTTAGGAGTGCGAGCTAACTCGGATTCGCGAGGGTGAAGCGAAGTTAGACTCGCATCTCCCCCTCCTCGCTTATCTGCGCGTGCGCCTTTCAGCATGTCCGCCGCCATTTCGGGGTCGAGGTGGGGCCGCTTGTCCCGCCCTCCCGCGCCCTTTGTCGTTTCACGTCCAGCAGTGGCGCCGCTGCGCCTCCTGTCCCGATTGCCTGCCGCTCTGGGGCGGGGAGCGGCCTGCGAGACTTCTGTCCATGGCCAATGCAAAAAGAGGAGGGTCAGAAGTGCGAGCTAACACATGCCCGCGCCTTGCTGCGCCGATGCGAGACCGACAGTGGGACCCCAGCGAAGGGTGACGCACAGGATTGCCTTGATGGGGATGGGGGCAGTCGGCTGTGAGGCAAGGACCTGGCCCTGAATCGAAAGGGGGCAAGTCTCGAGCAGGGCTGCTGTTATTTTTGGGTGCGGCGCCAATGTTGAAGAAAGTAGGGCGCTAGTCCAGCGTAAAACGAAACGAAGTCTCGAGCGGGAGCGCTGGTTTTGTTGGGACGGCTGCTTTCGGCGGCGAGGAGGAACACCGCCTTGAGAAAGAAAGTAGGACGAATCGAGCGGGAACCGCGGTTTTGTCGGGACGGGGGCTGTCGGCGGCGAGGAACAGCACCGTCCCGAGGAAAAAGAGGAAATCTGGAGCGGGAGCGTTGTTCTTGCTGGGAGCGGTGCCAATTCAAAAGAAAGTCGTGCGCCAGCCCAGCGAACAACGGAAGGAAGCCTCGGGCGGGAGCGCTGGTTTTGTCGGGGCGGCGGCTTTCGGCGACGAGGAGGAACACCGCCTTGAGTAAGACGGGGGTCAGCACCGAGCGGGAACCGTGGTTTTGTCGGGACGGGGGTTGTCGGCGGCGAGGAACAGTACCGTCTTCAGGAAAAAGGGAGGACGCCTTGAGCGGTAGCGTTGTTCTTGCTGGGAGCGGCGCCGATTCAACAAATAATTGGGCGCCAGTCCAGCGTAAAACGGAAGGAAGTCTTGGGCGGGAGAGCTGGTTTTGTCGGGGCGGCGGTTTTCGGCGGCGAGGAGGAGCACCGCCTTGAGTAAAAAGGAACAAGCCTCGAGCGGGAGCGCTGTTTTTGTTGGGGGCGGCGCCGATGAGAGAAATATTTGCGCGCCGCTCAAAGGTACAACTGGAGGAAGTCTCGAGCGGGAACGCTGGTTTTGTTGGGACGCTGGCTTTCGGCGGCGAGCAAGAATACCAACCATGAGTAAAAAGGAAGAAGCCTCGAGCGGGAGCGTTGTTGTTGTTGGGGGGCCGTTTTTGGCGGTCCCCCACACCGCTCGAGCGTGAGCCTCATTTTCAATGAAAATGTAGCCGGCGCCTCGGCGAGAGCACCAGTGCGCCTTTAAGGTGTCCAACGATAATAACTGTTCAGCAATGAACATTCAACAACAACAGCAACGACACCAACAACAACGACAACAACGACAACACCAACAGCAGCAGCAACGACAGCAATAATACTTCGAATGACAATACTAATAATAGCATACTGAAAATGATAGTACTACTACTAATAATACTACTAATATTGATACCAACAACAACAGTAGTAACGACAACATCAGCAATAACAACAACATCAGCAACAACAATAACGCAACAAACGTAATCCTCACCACTGGTTCTCACGTCAGCCACGCAACCAGGGACAGTGAATAACCGTTCGACACTCTCACTCTGACGAAATATGTGCTATTGTTGGACCCCGTTCATGCGCCCTGTCACACTCACCTCTGCGCCGACTGCATTTTCTTTGAAAGCGGGGCTCGCGCTCGAAGTTATCGCGATTGCGCAGCAGACGCGCCCCGCACAAGAACAACAACTTCGCTACTGCTCGATGTTTCCGCACTTTCTTCAGGACCGGTGCCCTTGCTCGACGCCAGACATTGGCCTCCCACATATCTGACACACCCGCTGGTTCATTCCTGGGTTCATATTCCAGAGTAGCGCAATTGCCTCGGCGCCGCAAACCGGCCCCCCTTTCAACGTCAAACGCTCCCGCTCGACGCTGCCAGTTTTTCCTCAGGGTTGGCAATCGTGCGTGTCGGTGAACACTGGTCCTCCAACAACAACAACAACAGCAGCAATCCCGCTCGACACGTCCTTGCTTTTTCATCAGGATTGGCGCTTTCGCCTTGGCACCACAAGGTTGCCCCTTCAAAACAACGCTTCCGATCGACACTTGTTCTTCAATTTGTACTGAGGCGCTTATGCTCGCGGTCGAAAACCAGTCCTGCAACAAAACCAGCGTTCCACCCCAGCTCGATGTTCTCCCTCCTTTCGTACCTGCCTCTGCTCTCCGCATGTCTCTGGTTCGGTACACTCCTCGCACGTTCCGTGGCCACCATGGTAAAGCCCGGGCGTCAAGGTCCGCCTGCAGTCCCTCTCCCAATCGCGGCGCACTCATCACACGATTCGTGGCCCTAGTGGGAGCTCCACCGAAGGCCCGAGTGGCAGGGCCCGCTTGCAGTTCCATCCCCATCCGAGCGCACCGCCGACACGCTTCCGGGCTCCATCAAAAGCTCCACCGAAGGCCCCAGTGGCAGGGTCGGCATGCAGTTCCACCTCCGATCTCGGCGCGCTCCTCACACGTTTCATGGCCCCACAGGGGGCTCCACCTTGGCAGGGTCCGCATGCAGTTCCACCCCCCCTTTCGGCGCACCCCTCACGCGTTTCGTGGTCCCGCGGGGAGCTCTACCGAGGTCCCAGTGGCAGTGTCTGCATGCAGTTCCATCCCACCGAAGGCCCCAGCGTCAGGGTGCGCATGCAGTTCCACCCCCCCATCTCGGCGCATCCTTCTCAAGCTTCGTGGTCCCATAGGCGGCCCCATCCGTCGTCTCGCTACATACATGCACGTGGCAGGCAAGAAAGAGGGTGCGATCGAACACGAAGAGGGCGGGTACCGAGGGTTTGGGATGTACGTGGTGAATGGCACGCGTGCAGATCGGTGCGAACAGTCTTACAAACTATTATTGTTGTTGCTGTAGCTGTTGCTGTTATTATTGTTGATGTTGATGCTGCTGCTGTTGTTGTGCTTGTTGTTGTTTTTGTTGTTGTTGAATATGCATTTCGAAATAATCATTATTGCTGATCTCCGGAAACGGTTCCGCGCGCTCTCGCCTTGACACCGGCTACATGTTCTCTGAAAACGAGGTTTCCGCTCGAGCGATGGCTTGAGCCTAAGTGTGGGCCCTTGGAGTTACGACAACAACGGCTCCCGCTTGATACTTCCTTACAATTTACCCCGAAACACCCTGGCCAGAGAGGCCACCGAACTCAGGAACGGCGCTCTTGCTCGAATTTTCCTCGCAATTCCATGAAGTTTGCGGAGGTCCAACCACGACGACAAGGGCTCCTGCTCGAGACTTTGTCACCATTTACTCTGAGAGCCCCTGGTCAAGAAAGTCCCCGGACTCAGGAACGGAGCTCTCGCTCGAGACTTTCCCGCAATTCAGTTAGATTGGTGGAGGCCCGGACACGGCGACAAGGGCTCCCGTTCGATATTTCTCCATAGGTTGTCTGAGAGCCCCTGGCCAGAGAGGCACCCGATTTCAGGAACGGCGCTCTCGCTCGAGACTTCTTCGCACTTCAGTCAGTGGCCGACAAGGAAGAGATTCCACCCGAAAGGAGGTGCAATCGAAGACGAAGTGGGCGGGTATCGAGGGTCGGGGTATACGGAATGCAAGACACGCGTGGCAGTAAGAGCGAACAGTCTTAACATGAATATTGTTGTTGTTGGTGTTGTTGTTGGAGTTGTTGATGTTGTTTTTGGTGGTGGTGTTGTTGCTGCTGTTGTTGTTGTGCTTGTTGTTGCTGCTGTTGTTGTTGTGCTTGTTGTTGCTGCTGTTGTTGTTGTTGTTGAATTTTTATTCCTGAAGTTTTTGCTCAATCAAAGTGTGCCCTTCGACGCTCGCACCCTGGTTTTTTGACAGGGAAGGTCTTGGTGCTCAAACTGGGTCCCTGGCTCCCCGGATTACAACAACAACGGCTCCCGCCTGAGACTTCCGTCAAATTTGCTCAGGACCCCCGCACCTGAGACTTCTTCACAATTTACTCAGGATCGGTGCTCCCGCCTGTGATTTCCTCGCAATTTAGTCAAGACCCCCTCTCCCATCTGAGACCTCCTCACAATTTACACAGGAACGGCGCTCCCGCTTGAGACCTCCTCGCAAGTGAATCAAGACTTCATCACAATTTAATACAGACCCCCGCTCCCGCCAGAGAACCCTTCACATTTCATTCAGGAATTGCGCTCTCGCCTGTGACTTCCATGCAATTATTCAGAAATCGCGCTTTCGACGCTCAGGAAACACGCTGCGCCAAGGACGCCGATACAATCTACTTAGTAACCTCGCTCTCGCCATACTCAGGCATCCCGCTTGAATGTCCCACCCGCCCGACCCGCCCGTCAGGGGATCGCCCGCCCGTCGTGGGCTCCCGCCCGAGACTTCCTTCAGGAACCGCGCTTTCGCCTAGGACTTCCTCGAACGTTCACGCTCTTACCTTCCTGCTCCTCCTCCCTCTCCCTCCTCCCTCCTCCCTCCTCTCCTTCCTTCTCTCTCCCTCCTCTCTTCCCTCATCCTTATGCCTCTCTGCCCTATCCCCTCTCCATCCTCTCCCTCCTCCCTTCTCCCTACTCTCTCCTGCCTCCTCCCTCCCTCTTTTTTTGTTTCTCTCTCTCTCTCTCTCGCTCTCTCTCTCTCCTCTCTCTCTCTCTTTCTCTACCTCTCGTATCTGTATTTCTCTCTCTCTCTCTCTCTGCCTCTACTCAACCGCCCCCCTCTTCGCTCCTTCTCTCCTGGCGTTTTCCCTCTTCCTTCGTCCCTCCCCCTCCCTTCCTCTCACTCTCCCTCGTTCTCCCCCTCCTCTTTTTTTGCAGGGCCCACACCAATTCCAATGGCGGGCACATCTACGCCCACGAAGAACTGTCCACCCGTTCAGGTTTGGCCGCCTGTCTAAGCCCGCCGCCCCCCGCATGGAGAAATAATCCCCCCAAAGCGGGTGTGATCGAAGACAAGAAGGGCGGGTATCGAGGGTGTGGGAAACTCGTTTCAATGACACGCGGGCAAGTAAGAGCGAACAGTCTTATAATGATTGTTGTTGCTGCTGTTGTTGTTGCTGTTGTTGTTGCTGTTGTTGTTGCTGTTGTTGTTGATGTTGTTGTTGTTGTGTTTGGTGTTGTTATTGTTGCTGCTACTGCTGCTGCTGTTGTTGTAGCTGGTGTCGGGTTTGCTTCAACTAAGTTGGCGCTTGCGGCGGGCCGACCTACCCAATGTGTTTTCAACAACAATGTCGGTACCCACGGCGAGCTGTTCTGCAGTGGCTTTGACGAGCACCACTGTGCGCCCAGCCCTGGCGCCCCCTCACTCTGATCCGCAACTGCGAGAGACTAGGCATCTTTGTGCGACAAAGCAGGTCGGGGGGGGGGATGAGGGCAGAGGAGCCCATGGGTGCGACCCACCAGGACGGTCGAGGAGAAGGAGCATCGAGGAGGGTCGGAGAAGGGGGGCCGGTGAGGCGGAGGACCGACGAGGAGGATCGTGAAGGAGGTCTTGCCCTGCGCTCCTGGCTCCCCGATCCTCGAGCCGCCTCCTCGACCCTCCGCCCCCTCGATCCACCGCCGCCTTGCTCCCTCCTCCTCGATCCTCAACGTCCCTCGACCCTCGACCCTGGGCTGGCCAGCTTGCGGTCCACAACTCGGGCCCCCCGCGCCCTTTCGGGACGATCTTGGGCGCCCCCGGACAGCTTTCGGACGAGGCGCAGCTGGTTGCGAGCACCCAGGGGCCCGGAATGCTGAACAACAGCACTCAGAGGCCTCCTCGACCCTCTGGGCCTCCCTTGTGGCGCGGGCGCGGAGTGGCGGACCTCGTGGGCAGTACACATGTTCGTGTCCACGGCTTCGCGGGCCAGGCCCCTGGGCCCCGACCCCCTGGCTACTTGGATGCGGGGCGTTTTCCGCGGATGCCCCGCGCGGAACGTATCCGTGCGACCACGTATGAACGCGGTCGCGCTCCAAAGTCAAGACCGCGAGGGCGTGGACATAGATACTCGATGGTCTTCGGGGCATGCATTCGCCGAATGTGTGTTTTCCCCTCTCGGCCCTCATCACATCCGCTACGCCGTCTTGAAAGGCTTCGGTGGACAAGCACATGTTGGCGCCAACGCGTGTTGAAAGGATCATCGAGACATTCTCGCCGCTCGTGAGGACCCCCCGACGGCCAGTGCTCGCCCCTCCCGCGAGGTGCAGAAGGTTGAGATCGGCGACCGGCTGGTGGACTCCGCGGCGACACTCGTGCAGGCGCGCCTGCTCGCGAGAGGAGGAGAGGGATTCGGCAGCAAGTCATGTGAGCATGAGCTTAGAATTTGCCTGCTCGCGGGGGCGGGAAGGGTTCGGTAGCAAGTTATGGGAGTCTTGTGTGTCTGTGTGTCCTCTTAATTCCGTCTTCAGTGGAGGGCATTGGCGTGCTCTAGCGTCTGGTAGTGCGTCGACGAGCGTCGATTAGCGTAGGTTAGCGTCGATTCGTAAGGGACAGCTATGGAAGGCCCCCATGAACAGGGGGAGCATAGGGTCGCTATGAGTGAGTCGGGGGCGTTCAAGAGGTTCGAATCGGGCGAACTCCGAGCGAGCGAACGAGCGTGCAAAGGCTGTCGCAGGATGCCTTCACCAACCGGTCCAAGCCGTCCCTGCCAGCTCTCAGCCGCGCACATACTGTACACATGTATGTCTGTCTGTCGGTATGTATGTATGTATGTCTGTCTGTCTGTCTGTAAGTAAGTATTTATGTATGTATGTTTATATAGATATGTAAATACATGGGGAGGGGGTCCTGGATCGGTGGGGTCCCAATTTGTCCAGGGGCTGTGCCCCCCCCCTCCAGGAGCGCCAGGAGTGCGCCAAAAGAGACCAAGATTGCGCCAAAAGACGCCAAGATTGCCTCCAGACGGCCCAAGAGGCCTCCAAGTTGCCCCAAGAGCGCTCCAAGACCCTCCTGGATTGTCCCCAGACTAGCCGCGAGGCTCCCAAGACGCTCCAGGAGAACTCGAAGAGGCCTCCGCGGAGGCCCCGGACACGAGAATCATGGAGCGTCTAGGGGAAATCGATGATTGTGGCTTCCCTCCTTTTTCGCTTTCGATGCGCTTCCGAGGCTTGAAGATGACGTTCGAGAGGCCCCCAAGATGCTCCCACGAGGCGCTACCAGCGACCCCAAGAGGCCCCCAGAGGCCCGAAGAGGCGCAAGAGGCCGTCCAAGTGCACACGCGCGCGTCGTCGCGCGGGCGTGTCGAACTCCTTCAAAAACCTTAGGTTTCGCATGAAAGTCAAAACCGAGTGTCCCGAAACCGTAAAAGAACACATGGTTCCGCAACAAGAATGTTAAACAAAAGCTTGCGCCCACGCTTTGCACATTCTTGAGAAAGCCATAGGTTTCTCAACATTTCCAAGACATGATACCAAACTTACCTCTTGCGCGGGCATGTCAGAATCACAAGAGCGTCCTGGCGCGCGTGCTGTCGCAATAATCCCTTGCAACAGACGTGACGAAGTGTGCACGCGCGCGTCGTCGTGCGTGCATGCCGAAATCTTTCAAACAGCTTAGGTTCCGTAAGGACTTCAAACTCGAGAGTCCCGACATCAAATATTCACACATGGTTTTGCAACATCAGTTTTCGAACATGCCTGCGTTCGCGCTCCTGCGAGTTTTACGAAAACCATATGTGTTTCAACATGTTCAATCGACTTGGCAAAACGGGCCCCTCGCGCCGCACGTCGAAAGCATTCGAACGCCCTGTGTCAGATAATATAATACCCGTATCAGATAATACCATGTGGGCCATTCCCGCGCGTCGGCTGCGCGCGCATGCCGAGCTTCTTTCAAAGCCTTCATCACCGACGCGAGGGCGCCGTCATCGTCGTCGGCGTGATCGGCATCGGCGGCGTCACGGCCTTGCCACCGTCGGTGTCATCAACTCACCGGCATCGCTACCAGCATCATCGCGTCTACCGTTGCCGACGTTGCCATGATACTGCGCCCGCCCAGGTCGCCGACTCGCACTGAAGTGCCCGCTGGGAAGTGCCCAGCGGTCAGCGCCACCACGGCCGCGTCGGCCACGCCAAACTAACTGGCCGCTGTGCGCGCGATCATTCGCGGGCTAGCGCGGCCGCAGAGATGCCCCAGCTAACTCCAAGCACTCATTGCAATCGCCGCAGTGGGTTTTGGAAATCAAGTTGCGAGTGAATTGGTGGGATGATTGCGCGAGCGAAGGAGTGGACAATTCACGGCGAAGAGAACTTAGTTGCACCACGTCGATTGTTCCACGCGGATTGTGTCACATATGTTGCACCACCTCGGTTGCACTACCTATAAACGGCACAACCTATATACACATTTCTATGTATATGGCGCATCGTAGATCGCACGTCATGTATTTCGCAACGTGAAAGTGCACCACGTGTGTGGTGCCACATCTGTAGTCCCAGACAAAGTGTATGATATTGTTTGAGGCCCACGATGTAAAAAAAACACATTAAGATAGAGATACTTTTGTCAGTAGGTCGACCATTCGTTAGTTAGCTCGTTCGTGCTTTGCTTGCGTAATTCGTCATGTCGCCAGGCAGCTAGTTATTTTCGTGGATAGTCAATGAGTGGGAACGAGGTGTAGAGGAGGAAAGCTACACATGCATATCTACACGTATAACTACATATGTATATGTATGTATGTTCATCGACCGAATAAGTGAGGGAAACATGTACTGGTATGAGAACGGGAAGGTGACAAAGAAGATGAGGCAGCCATGCCTCCTCACCTCTCTCCTACCCTCCCTCCCCGCCCACCTCCTTTCTCCAATCCTTCCCCAGTCCCTCCTCTTTCCGCCTCTTCTCTGTTTTTGTTCGTCCCCCCCTTCCACAAATTTATGTCCGACTCGGGCTTCGTATTTGCGGGCACGCACCCGAGGGCAGTTGCTTGAAGACCATCCCTGATGGAGCGTTGGTCCTCCCTCCTCCCCCTCATCTCGCTCCATCCCATGTCCTCTCCAACCCAATCCCAAGGCCCATGTTGATCCGACTGCTCCGATTCGATAGCGATGTCAGCCCGATCCGAGTCGAGCTCGGCATTCCTACGATTTGGTTGGGCCCGATGCTCGCATGGCGGTGTCGCTTATCGTGTCTCCGGATGCAACCGACCCCGCGGCACGACGTTGTCCGAGCCTGCCCGTCTGGCCAACCAGGGTGGTTAGGGGCTTTCCCCTCCTCTGGCGGAATCTAGTTGGCATAACTAAGCAGAAACTTCCAGAGATCCGCACGAATTTGTATGATTAGTGCTGGACACCCTCCCTTGAGAGCGGAGCGCGCCAAGAGCGGCGCTGGAGGCGCCGCCAGGGGGGTCAAGTGCCGATCCAAGAAATCTGCGCGGATTTCCTAAAGTTTATGTTTGTGTTTTTTTTTCTTTGATCCTCCCTCTCGTACACACAATCATAGAAGAGATGCGCCCAGCCCACCCAGGGGGAGTGGGGCATGTCGCCCATGATGCAGCGGTACATGAAGTCGCAGACCACCTCTAGCTCGCAGGACAGCGCGTTCGCCATGGGCTCGCGGAACCAGGCGTCGCTCGCTCCCTCTTCCCCGCCTTCTTTGGAGGTGGGCGCGCGCTGGATCGCCGGCGCAGGGTGGGCGGGGAAGGGAGGAGGAGGAGTTGGAGAATGGAGAGAAGGTGGAGGATGAAGACGAGGAGAAGGTGGAAGGGTGGAGGGGGCAGGGCGGATGGGGAGGAGGAGAGAGAGGGTGGAGGAGGGACTAGTCATACATGATAAGGGTAAAGAGGAGGAGGAGGAGGAGGAGGAGGAGGAGGAGAACGAGAAGGAGGACACGCAGGACCAGTGCAAACCGAAGACTCATCACCTCACACGCCGCTATAATAACTCATTTTCGTTGTGCAGTGGGAAGTGCCCCGTTGGGAGACAGTCGCTTGAAGATCCTGAAGCAAGCCAATGCACCATGCTCGGAACTTCAACGCCACGAGTCAGCGAGCTCTTTCGTCTTGACGTTCCCGAGCACCATTCCTAGGACTTCAACTCCACGAATCAACATAATTCTTGCGCCCTGACAATCCTGAGTCGTTCCAAAACACCTCTGGAACCTGAAACAGGGGGCTTCGCAAAACGCTTGAATGTTTAACTGCGGATGTGGTCGGCGCGAAGGCGAGCGCCACATTTTGGAAACCACCCGCCCTCAATTCGTGAAACTGCAATTCAAAACAAATGTGCGCGGCGCTAGGGCGAGAGCCAAAATCGCCCTCAATCCGCGAAGCTATCGCAATTTTTTACAACGAATGTACGCGGCGCAAGGGCGAGAGCCACATGTGAAAACGACCAGCCCTCCATCCGTGAACCTGTTGCCCATTTCTAAGCTTCAGGGTCGCGAGTGGTACGGAAGGCCCATGCAAAATGCGTGGCCCGCCTTTTCGACAGGCTTCGGGGTAAGACAAGGATGAGTGATCTATCAGGAAAAGGAATGGAGGAGGAGGTTGAAGGGTGGAGGTGGAGAAGGCGTATGGGTGTTGGGGACGCGCCAGAGGAGACCAGGCAAGGGTGCTGCAGCAGGAGGAGGGATACGGAAGATGGAGAGGGAGGAGGTAGGACAACTCCTTAGTGCGCAGCTCTTGGAAGGTGCAACTCAGCTTTCGGCCCTGGTAGATCCGTGGTCGAGAAACGGCCTCGCCATAGGCCCGCCGAACCTGGGACGGATGAAATCGGAGGGCTGGGTGGGAAGGTTTAGTTTGGAATGCGTGCCTGTCACTAGAGCGTAACAGCCCCCCTTGACAGTTCTTACGAGAAGATCTCCCAGGAGTTGACTCCTGCTCGGTTGAGACATTCTCACGATTCGGGTGAGACTTCCTCACGATTCGCGTTTGAACCTGGCCATGGCGTGCTGCCCGCGCCGAGACCCGCACGAGCTAGCCAGCCAGGCCTGTGCTTGGCCAACAGATCCTCATATGGGGATGGCGATGACGGTGATGGTGACGCTGCATTCGGTGATGATGATGTTGGTGGTGGTGATGATGATGCTAATGCTGATGATGCTGATGATGATCGTGGTGGTGATGATGATGATGATGAAGATGATGATGACGATGACGACGATGATGATGATGATGATGATGATGATGATGATGATGATGATGATGATGATGATGCCGACGATGCTGATACTGGCGATGCTGATACTGGCGATGCTGATGATGCCGACGGTAGTATGTGTGATGGCGATGATGCTGCTGATGATGATGATGATGATGCTGGTGATGGCACTGACGATGGCGATGCTGATGACGATGATGACGCTGCTGATGGTAGTGATGATGATGTTAATGCAGACAGTGATGTCAATCATGGCAATCATGACACCGGTGACAATGATGCTGGTGACGAGGATATTGAGAATCATTGATAATGATGATGGTGATGGTGCTGGTTATGATCGTGATTCTGAAGATGACGATGCTCATGCTGATAATGACGACGATGACGATGATTATGTTGATTCTGACGATGATGATGCTGATGCTGATGATGACGATGATGATGGTGATGCTGATGATGCTGCTTATGATGAATATGTTGATGATAAGGTGATGCTGATGATGATGCTGATGCTGATGATGTTGATACTGCTGCTGATGATGATGATGATGATGATGATGATGGTGGTGCTTGCGATGGTGATGGTGAAGATGATGATGACGATGCTGATGATGATGACGATGATGATGATGATGATGATGATGATGATGATGATGATGATGATGGTGACGTTTATGGTGACGTTGATAGTGATGGTGGTTGTCGTGATGATGATTGTGATCATGATGAGGTGGAGCCGCAGGAGAGGGAGCATGAGGAGGAGGAGGAGGAGGAGGAGGAGGGGCATGAACATGGGGAGAAAGATGCGGAGCCATAGGAGCGGGAGGAAGAGGAGGAGGAGATGATTACTCATGAGGAGGAGCAGCAGAAGGAGGAGGAGGAGGAGGAGCACAGAGGAGCATGGAGGAGTACGGAGAAGCATGTAGGAGCATGTGTCGGAAGGTCGCACGGAGTCGTGCTCGCAGTGACGTTCTCATTGTCGTCGAGGTTGCGCCCTCGAGCCTCGTCGGGGGACCAAGGTGCGCCGACCAACCGAAGGTACCGCGGTCGGCCAGCAGCGCAGCGGAAGGGTGGGAGGGAGGAGGAGAAGGACCTCGAGGGTGGGGAGGGAGGAGGAACATTGTGGAGCAGTATTGAGGAGGAAGTTGGAAGAGGAGGCGGTGGAGGGGTGAGAGAAGCAGGTGCGGGGGGGGAATCACAGCTGGCGTTTGAGACATCTGACCTGCAGGGGGGGTAACAAGATCCATGACTCGCCCCCCTTGGGAGCCCGTCAGCGTGTTACCCCTTCGCTTCCTTCCGAAACCCTCGAGCTTCTCCCACCGGAAAAAGCCCATGGCTTCCCCCACGGCGACGTGCCCTGCTGCTCTGCGCCCCCCATTTGGCCGCCCCCGAGGGGTGCGAAGGCGGTCCGCTCTCCGTGCTGCGCGGCCCGGGCTCGGCGAGCTGCTCCCGCTCCCGGAGCGGCCGCGCGACAGGGCGAGAAGATGACCGCGCGCTCCGCCGCGCGGCGCGGAGCACCTGATGGGCCTGTTTCCACCACCACCACCATAAGTTGGAGGGGGAGAGGGTCCTCCTCCTCCTCTTCTTCCTCGTCCTCCTCCTCCTCCTCCAACTCCTTCCCCCCTCCAACTTCTGGTGGTGGTGATGAAAAGCAGGCCCATCAGCATCGTGGCCGGGTGGCCCAGATCCGAGGCGGGGATTCGTCCAGAACCGCCGCCTTGGGCATCGATCTTCTGGCGTCCTCGGCAGGCGGAGATGCTCGGGCACTGGAGGGGCGGCCAGATGTGTCTATCCCTCGTGTGCGGAACCCCAGGCCCGGGGCCCTCTCCGAAGTCCTCTCTCCCCCCCCCCTGGGGTCTCCCCCGCCACCCCTCCAGCTTCCGGGCAGGCTCCACAGAGGTCCCAGACGGGCCAACGTGGTTTCGGGACGGCCCCAGATGGCGTCAAGACGGCCCAAGACGCTCCCAAGACGCCCCAGTTGAGCGCTCCGAGTTCCCGCATCGGTACTCCACTCCACTCGTCGATGGTACACATATTGATCTTCGCGACGGCATCTGCGCTCGCTTCCGTGGAGGCTACAAACGTCGAGCGGCCAATCGCGGATACTTATGTTAAGTCCTGCCAGTCAGCGTCAACAAGTTATGGTACCGCACAAGGTTTGAATGCCAGGGCCTACCACGACAGCTGGTGCGGCACTCGATACTCGTACCTGCTATTTAGCGTTCCTTGCGACACTCTGGATGCAACGCTCTGGCTGTGGCCGGTCCATTCTGATGACACCTTTCCACAGGTGGCCGTCTTTGAGGTGCAGGGCGAACGATCGGAAAGCGCAACTATTGCGAAGGCCTTACGGCCGATGCCGCCGACCCTGTAGGCAGCGACGACGAAGACAATGGAGGTAGAGGAGTCCAAGATGCCCTCAGATGGCTTGAAGGCGGCGCCAGATACCTGCAAGGTCGTCCGAAGACAGCTCAAGGGGCCTCATCCAGGGTTCGGGAACGGCTCCAGGGAGTGCCAAGATAGGCAAAGAGCGCCCTCAAGTGGCCCGAGAGTGTTCCAAGACGGCGTCAAGCGAGGTCCAAAAGCGCCCGCAGAGGCTGTCAAGAGTGCCGCCAGAGGCTGCCAAGAGAGTCTCAAAATGGCGAAAGGTCTCCAAGGAACCTTAAGATCGGCTGAAAGGGCCCGCAGACGGCCCCGGAGGGCCAACGGAGCCCCAGGACGTAGGAGGATGAGAGAGCGAGGGCTGCGTATCCGAGGGGGGACCCCCCCTCTGGGAGTTGCCCCGGGACCCCCCCCCCAGGCGGGGAAGGGATCAAGGGTAGGGGTTTCCCTTCGACTGATAGGATGAAAAGGCCCGTAGACGGCCCCGGAGGGCCAAGGGAGCCCCAGGACGCAGGAGGGGGATGCGCATCTGAGGGGGGCCCACCCAGGAGTGAGGGGGGACCCCCCCCGGGAGTGAGGGGGGACCCCCCCCAGGAGTGAGGGGGGACCCCCCCCCGGGAGTTTCCCCCGGACCCCCCCCCGGCGGGGAACGGATCAAGGGAAGGGGCTTCCCTTCGACTGAAGGACGACGTTATTCAATTGTTGTGTGAACTTGTGTAGAGAGCCCTCGGAAAGCAGAAGAGGCGACGACGCTGTGGGGAAGACGGAAAAGCCTCTCCCACACGCCGACGGTCGGCGGATCTGGTCGAACCGTCCCAGCTATCAGGAGCAGGATTGCGAATATCAGGACTATCCAGAATCATTGGGGCAGGCGTTCGCATGCGCCGTTCCGCAGGCGAAACTCACTGGTAAGACCACCATCTCGGTTTCGTTCGTTGCAGAATGGATGTGGGCGGGGTCCGCTGCATTTTGGTCCCGCGAAGCCCCCGACGAGAGCACCAGACCGTCACTGGTGTTCCAGTGTACTGCAGCACCCACGTCGGCTACTACGGGCACTGCGTTTTGGACGTTATTGTCTCGGCAAACGTGGCCGACTTTGTTCAGCGAGGGAGAGTGGTCGAAAAACGCGGGAGATCCTGAAAATGACAATTATGCAATTTTGGATCAAGTTGAATATTTTCGCAGCGGCGACGGAGTGTTCACGTTCAAATTGAGTTGGCCGGGTTCCGGATTCCAGGACCAGATCTGGAATCAATCGCTCAACCCAGTTCCTTCACCAGGGCAGCAGTCCACCAGACCAGTTGCAGGCTGTCAGGCGGTGGCTGTCCACTACACTGACATGTATTGGGGGGGCCTGGAAAGCGTTTCTACAGACGCGCTCTTGGACGGGAGCGTGGCCCACTTGTACTGGTGGTACGCAGTTGGCTCTTTCCAAGAACATGAACATGATGGTGGCATACCTGGCCCCAACGGAGTCGTCGTGGATAAAGTCGAGCTCTACGTGGCAACGACGGTTGTGTGTCCACTTGGGTACCTGTTTTCACACTATGGGTATTGGGTCAACTGGGCCGGCAACTGGCGGACAGAAGGCCATTTTTCTGCCAGTGCATGCGCGGTCTTGTCCACGGAAGATCCACTCTGCAGCACATTCAGTTTTTACGGAGAAGCGACAGCTGGAGTTGATGGACACTGTTATGCTTACATCTCAATTGGGGCGCAGACCATAGTGAACAACATCGAGAACATCGCATGTCTAAAGGCGGCGCCAGCACCTACGCCACAGGCGCCCACAACAAGCACCCACATCTCCACCACTGCCACCCAGACAGCCACAAAAAACTACCGAGACGGGCACGAGTTCCGCCTCGCCCAGCAGCAGCACCCCCAAGACGACTACCACGACGATCACCAGGACGGCCACGAGGATCACCGAGACAGGCACGAGCTTCTCCACGTCAAGCTCCATGAGTCCAGTACTGGCAGGATCACATGAGTTGGACATGGAGTCTGAGGAGGGCTTTCCTGTAGGGGACGCCATCGGGATTACTGGTGGCGGCAATTCGAAGACACGTGACATCGCGAGTTTTGGATCCATCGTGCTCGACGTACCATTGGGCTACGGATACCCAGCGGGCTCCAGGATCACCAATCTGGGCGGTAGTTATCCGAGCAATGCGCCATCGGCGGAGGAACAACAAGACTCCGGACACTGCTAGCAATCTTCGCTGGTGTCGTGATCGTCCTCCTGGCCTGCGTCGCGCTGGGCTTGGGCTGTCTGAGGATGCACGGATGTCCAGGCTGTGGCAGGGGCCCAGCGCGCGACGCGCAGATTGAGATCAGCGCGTCGGAGCAGGCGGACCATGAGATCAGCGCGCCGGAGCACCAGTCGGACCAGAACGCCGAGTTGTTGAAGACCATGGACTGTTGTTTCCTTCCAGTGGAAACTCCTGAAAACTTCCGCGCAACAAGCCCTTCTTCCGCCACCAAGTGTTGAGGGACCTTGGTCTGTTGGTGAAGCGGACCATGACCCTGGAGGATGTGTGTTGCTGGGCGGTTTGTTGCTGACACAGCAGCAGTGTCCCACCGCTGGCCAGAGCCAGAACACCCCGATCCAGACTGCAGCAAATTGTGTAAGTTGCAAGACATATTTGCCAATGACCCCTCGATCAAGTTTGTATGGACGATTGGGTATGTGCACCTCAATGGCACGGCGGCGGGCGGACCGAGGAGGAGGAGGAGGAGTTCAGGCTGATCTGGGAGAACATCTTGCCTTGCATCTTTCTCGGTTGCACGGTTATTGTGCTGTTCGAGCGTGTCTATAATCAACGGTGTTGGCCAAATGTGGAGTGCTGGATCGCCACCCAGATGGCGACGGAGGACGGGTCAGTGCCAGCTACCGAGGATAGGCCAAGAGTGAAAGTCCACGGCATAGAGTCAACACAGCTTTTTAATAGCACCCGCATGGTGCTTGATAGTTGGCATCATGCTGATGCGCAGAAGGCTATCCGCACCTTGTCTCAAAAGGATATCTTGGTCACAAACGCCAAGGACAAGGAGATCAACTCTAAGGTAATCAGCTCTCTGGACCGCATGATCCACAGCCGTCACACCTTGCTCATCTAAGTAGTTGGTATATGTTGTGCGTGGACGGTAGTTATGCTCGTTCTCTTGATTGTGCAAACTGTGATTGCGTTTGCTGATCATGTTCGGAGGCTGGAGGAGGACGGGCTGGGGGTGGCAGTGTAGGAGATAGCGAATTGAATGAAGAATGCGACAACTTGGGAGGGCTGCCAGACCGCATCCGTAGACGGCTGAGCTGTAGCCTCGCTGTCTGGATATGGTTCAATCGTGTGCTCATCGTGTACAGAAGCTGTGCATTTAACGATGCCGCCCCTACAGCGCTCCGCGAGAGTCTGCGATCGGACGAATGACGCTAGAGGGATGAGGTGGAGGAGGAGGAGGAGGAAGAGGAGGAGGAGGAGCTGGGTTGCGGGCCAGAACCAGCAAACATGGTTCGTCAGTTGCTTGTGAGGCGCAATCATACATAAGACTCTCTGTCGCGCGCGCTTTGTCCAGTTGCCACCCTGCTGGTTCACGGCTTGAATAGCCAGCTAGACGGGACTCTTTCCTCCTGTTTTCACTCTTTCATCTCCTTGTATATTCCTGCTTCTCTACCACATGATTCACTTGTTTCCTCCTCCAGATTCGGAATCGCCTTCCCAATCGGCGAACGAGCGAGGCGCATGGATTGGGCTCGATGATCAGGCCCCCTGGCCTTCGCCTCACGGGCACCCTGCTGGTGGACATTGCAACTGAGTCACGGGTTGAACAGCAAATGCAGCATCCAGGCACGGTGACGAGATGGGTTGAAGGTCATTGAGTGTATAGCGATGTCTCTATTGTACCATCGTATGTCGTATCTTTCCCGTCGAGCTGCAAAGGCGGATGTTCTATTCGTGCTCTGTTTTGTCACGCCGCTCTCGTTCGGCCGGATTCTCCAGAGCGCTCGGACCCGACGCCGTCCCCACAGCCGACTCTCTAGAGTAGTCGCCATCGGTATGGGTTGTTCCGCAGTTGCGCGGGCTCAATGAGCCGACAGTCGTCATGGCTGCAGGCACGACGCAGGCCTCTCATTGCACACTCAACAGCCGCTTAGCTTCACAGCAGCGTTCCCTCCCCACGACAAAAATGAAGGGTCCAAGATGGCCAAGGAGACTCCCAAGATGGTCCACAACCAATCGAATGACACTTTTTGTGTTGAATGTCGCGCCGTCTTGGCCACGCTGGCCTCTCCGTCTCGTTCTCATTTTCGCCTCCTCCGCCTCCTCCGCCTCCTCCTCCTCCTCCTCCTTCTCCTGTGTGGGGCCGTTTTGCAATCCCGCCACCAGGGCCAACCAGAAGAAGAAGGCCGACCTGGTGGAGCGGGGCTTTCACCCCAAGACGGGGGCCGCGATGCCCCCACGCGCCTGAAATCGTTCGGCTTTGCTTTCTGAGGATTCGCCTGACCCTCCCGCCTTCAGTGGCTAGGGGTTGCATGTTTCCAGGGTTGTTCTGTTTCTCGGAGAACTCCTGCAGGCTGCTCGCCTCCTCCTATTTCTTCTCCTCTCGCCCCGCATCTCCATCTCGCCAAGACGCCTTTGTGGCGCCGAAGTGCCCCTTCCGTGGCCTGCTGCCAGCCACTGGCTACCTCGAGTGCGGACCTGCCCGCTCGCGTTTCGCTGTCTCTGGTTCGCTTGTGCCCGGCTGGGCACGGCGCGCCTGCCGCCCGCCCATGCGCCATCGACCCGGGTGGCTCTCGTTTGTTTCACCGCACACTTTGGGAGCGTCCTTGCCCCGCCACACGCCCCACTTTCAATGGTTCTGCGTACTGAGCACGGCGTCGTCTTTGCATCGCCATCTGCGCAACAGTTCGCCTGAACGGTTCGCATTGCGCAAAAGCGCGTGGCGCAATCTATAACATATCTAGGATATTTCGCACGGCAGTGGGCATCTGAGAAGAACGGTGGTCGTTGGCGCCACGATGTGGTCCACGTGTTGCCGGGCGGGGGTTGTCCCGCCTCTGGCGGCTACTACTCTGCGTGCTCCAGCCCAATGACACAGACTGTGACTTTTTCGCACGGCGGTCTGCATCTCAGAGGAATGGTGGCGCCCTGCCGTCCCCAATCATTTTTAATTGTGACTGTTGCGCATGGCAGTGGGCATCTTAGCAGAATGGTCGTTGGTGACCATTACTGTGCATACTCCCGCCTTACTTCAACATAACCAAACAGGATTCTCAGCGAGCGACGATAAAAACAAACGCCCGCCCAAAGACGACCCCGAGAGGACCCCACAGAGAGCCCGAAGAGTTAAGACTCGTCCCAATCCTTCTTAGGAAAACGCGCATTTCTAGCCAATGCGATGTGTTCATCCGCACAGCGTCCAAGATGGCCCAAGAGGTCCCCAAGAGAGCCCCAATATAGCCCACGAGGTCCCCAAGAGTCAAGAGGGGCCACGACGGCCCAGGAGGCAGTCAGAAGAGGGCCTTGAGAGAGGCACCAGGGGGGAATTCGAATGTACATTTTGAGGCCTCCGCCCCAAGAGGACCCCGGAGACCGCCAGCAGGCCCCCAAAGGACTCCCAGAAAGGGCCACGGGGACCCAGGAGGCCCACCACAGGCCCCAAAAAGGTCCAAACTAGGCTCAAACGAGGCCCCGAAATGCGCCCCAAGAGGCTTCAAACCTGCCTCCAACAGACTATCCAGAGTCTTCCCCAGAGACCCGAACATGCATTATCAAGGTCTCACACCAACCACCCATGCACGGTGGCAGGATGGGCAGAAGGCCACCAGGAGGGGCACGTGTGGACGAGGGGAACGGTTGCCTCTCCTCTCCGTCCTCACATTTCGAGGCCTCGAGCCCGAGAGGACCCAGGAGACCACTTGCAGGCCCCCAAGAACCCAAGAGATGCCCCGAGAGGCCCCCAAATGGCCCCCAAGTGGCTTCAAGAAGTTGCCCAGAGACTTCTCGGACGACCCCAGCAAGCATCCAAGAGGTCTCTGACCAACATTCAAGGCACGGTGGCAGGATGGGCCGAAGACCACTAGGAGGTGCACACGTGGACGAGGAGCACCGTGGCCCCTCCTCTCTGTTCTCGTTTGTGCTGTTCGTCTTCAAAGGCTCTGCCTCTGCTTTTGTTCCTGTTCCTCTTTGTTCTGCCCTCGTCTTCGTCGCCGTCATGCTCCTGGACTATTCTCTCCTTTCTCGACCTCCAAACCGTCCCCGTCGTCCTCCTGGAGACTTCCGTGCTCAGGGAATTCTGTTTATTACGTGTTTCCGTCGCATCTTGAAACTACAGTCTTTTCCTCAGCCGTCGTCCATTCATCGACATCTCATTGCGAACTGAGATTCCTAAGAACTGGAGCGCGCGCGAAGCGCGCGCGATGGTCTTAGTCTATATACAGTTCTTTCTGTATGTGTACACATCGGTATCCATATATTCGCCGTCAACCGATCGGCCCCCCACTGTCGATCCCCAAGGTGGTCGATCTGGATATGTTCTCGCCTCGTACTCGGTGCATGATGTACGAGGTAGTCCGAGCAGGGGAGGACATCATATCGATACCGCTGCACTTCCCTCGTCGCCACCATTGCTGGACTCGCCGCGTGATTCTGGTCAGAAAGCCCTCTTGGGGACGTCTGGGGAGTAGCGGTATCGGTATCTTTGTGTTTCCCACATCGGGCCCCAGGAGGGGATGCCATCATGGAGGAGGAGGGGGAGCAGCAGCAGGAACAGGAGGAGCAGGCGGAGGAGGAACTGACAGAGGAGGAGGCGGAGGAGAAGGAGGAGGAGGAGAAGGAGGAGGAGGAAGGGGAGGAGGAATGCAGGATGTTTGGGAGGATGAGGACAAGACGTAAAGTGAGGCGGAGCTGGAATGAAATGAGGAGGATGAGGATGAGCAGCAGGAGGAAGAGGAGGAGTAGGAGATGAGGCGGAGGAGGAGGAGGAGGATCGCTGAGGAAACGGCCAGGACAGCGAGCGGGCCGCCAACGGCATGGAAGTGCCAATGGGGTCCCTTTGTTTGGGGGCACCCCACCCATCTCGTAGCCTGTTTGTTGGGTTCGCTAACAAGGGCTTACCCTGACAAGCCAAACCAACGAAAACTCTCACCAAGGCTGGGCAGCTCCGAGAGCCCCATGAGGATGAGCAGGAGGAGGATGCGCCCCATGAGACGGAAAATGAGGCGGAGGTGGAATGAGACGAGGAGGATGAGGATGAGCAGCAGGAAGAGGAGGAGTAGCAGAGGAGGAGAAGGAGGAAGAGGAGGGGGAGGAGGAGGAGGAGGAGGAGGAGGAGGAGCAGGAGCAGGAGCAGGAGCAGGAGGAGGAGGAGGAGGGGCCAGGGACACCGCCAACGGCGTGAGTAGAGTTCCGAATGTCTTGACGGAATGTGTGCCTGGGTCCCGACCATGCCATTTCTTGTCATTGTTGCCCGTCGGAGATGCCCTGGCGGCTGATGCCTTGTACAGGTGGATGAGACAGGGTCCAGGGCAACTAGAGGCGAAAAAGGGGGAGGGGGGAGATGAGGACGATGAGGGGTGGTGATAATGAGAGCGGGGGGGGTAAGGAGGTCAGAGGAGGAGGAGGAGGAGGAGGAGGAGGAGGAGGAGGAGGAGGAGGAGGAGGGGGTGGAGGAGGAGGAGGGAAAGGACGAGGAGGACAGGAGGAGGGAAAGGGGGAACAGCTAGCTGAGGAAGAGGATCATGAGGAGGGGATGGCACTGAGCGGCTGTGGGCGGGGCGGGGAGTTGCCAGGAGCTAGGAGGGAGACAGGCCATTCTGGAGATCAACCCGGAGCACCCGGTCATCCAGCGGGGGGCTTAGAGCTTCCGACGACAGTGGTTTGGCGGGGGGGGGAGGTGGAAAGGAAAGGGTAGAGGAAGGCGATGTGGAGGGGTGGAGGGGAAGAGAGACTAGGAGGAGGAGGAAGAGGAGGATGTAAAGGAGGAGGAGGACCAGTGTAAACCTTAGACTCATCAGCGATGTTGGGATAGACCCTGCCTCCAAGGTCCTTCTTCATAGACCCCATATAAGGATTCACTTCCACTGAGGGAAGTGTCCCGTTGGGAGGCAACCGTGTGAAAAT